CTACAGGTCCCTCTTCTATATTTAATAAAATGCTTAAGCATTTGGGTCCACATAGTAGAAAATACCTTTGGTTAATTATTTGTGGCTGCCTTCAGATTTCTTCAGTTCTCACGAAATAGAACTTTACCTATGTTTATCCGATTCCTAAACCTAAATCCTAAGAATTTGACCTAACAATACCTGACCGATTACACTTCTGGAATGCCTGCAAAAAGCCTTTGTTAAACTACTTAATACCAGACTTGCATCAGTTTTTGTACAACATAATATCTTGAAAGGATCAAACTTTGCTGGACTGCCCTTTAAATCCACTTTTGATTCCATACATATCATAAACAACATAAAACATGACGCCATCACAAATAAATCTGAACTTTGGATTCTTCTACAAAATATGTCTAAAGCATACGACTGCGTCAACATTTTTACATTAGTCAAAGCAATGGAAAGGCTCTGAATTCCTTTCAGTTACATCAACATCATTATGAAATTATTTATTTTTAGACTTAACAGAATCTTCACTGCTTATAGCAATACTGATCCCTACATTATCTTTTCTGGCATCGATCAAGAAGAAGTCATTTCACCCCTGTTGTGGTGTATCTACTATGACCCACTACTCTGTAGAATCCAGGAGTCGTCCCATGGATACAAAATGAGTTGCAGTTGACAACCTGATACCCGTTTATCCACTACGCAATGCCTTTCAACAATGATTCTGGCTTTAGCCTTTATAGACGATACTCTATGGATTGCCAAGTCTGCTAACGATCTATCATCAATCATTAGGATTGCTAACAGTTTCTATTCCTTTAATGACATCTAGGTTAATTGGCCCAAATCAGAACTTCTGGTGAATAAGACTCAGCTCAAGCCCTTCACTATTGCCAATCCTAACGTCATCTATCACATCATCGCACGTAAATCCAGTGAAAGTATCAGGTATCTCGGAGTCTGGATCTCGCTGGCAGACAACAGAACATTTATCACCAACCAAATTCATGAAGAAATCAAATCTGCAATCACCATAATGCGAAATAAAAAATTAACAGACACATATCTTACATATATATTTAATATGGTTATTCTTTCACGCATAGAATATAAATCACAACTTACATTCCCTTTGGAAAAATATTGTGTTTGAATCATGGCCTTATACGTAGCTTTCCTTCGCTCTAAATTGCACCTTTTATGAAAAACGCCGTCATCGTTTTTTCTGTCACACTATTTTTACAACATTACCTCTGTCTACCAGAGACTTATTCAAAATCTTAGCAGTGCTCTCCTGCAGATGGCCAATAAACCCAACTTATTAGGCCTCACATTCAAAATTCGTGTCAGACAACTGCAAACCTGGGAATGGTTGTACATCAATTCTCTGGTACGTTGGCCATACAATACCCAAAGGTCTAAAGATGACTGACTCTCGGCTTTGCTTAGTACTCTTAACAAACTGAACATTAATCTTAGCATTCCGTTAAGCTCAAATAATCTGGTATTCAGAGGTACCACCCTGATTTTAGACCTCATCACGCCTATCTATAGAAATCACGTCTAAGATCTCAGAAATTGCTCAGTTCTTTATGCTAAACAGTTAGTCAATTATGCTGGTAATTACATGTTCTCTTACAAAGACCTCATTCACATTACGCACTAACATACAAGATTTGTTAGAACCCCAAATGGTTTACTATCATAGAACATTACTTACAACCATCACCAGATAGATTCATTACCAGAATATTCCTGCACAACCTAATGTATGGCTATACACTGAAGCAACAACATCTTACCCTTGGTTATAGATCGTACGCTATTGGTTGGATATTTAATCTCAATAGTTTTATTATTGGATGCATCACCCATACTGACCAAAATACTTTGCACCTCAGACATTATAATTTTGAAAAAGCAACCGATCACAGTACCAAATTAATGCCATATCTCCGTTATTCCTTGCACAATCAAAATGCATCTCTAACAAATAGATCATACTGCTGAGTCAGTATCCCTCGTGTATACTGTGCAGCCTTTTATAATATTTATTATGAAAGTTTCAGTTCCACAGCGCTATCCATTGGTACTCTGAATGAACTAGCTTTGACTTGTGCAGTTGCATTCTCTCAGCCCCATATCTTAAATGTACCGCCCTCTGTTCTTCTCCCTATATATAGCTCTTGTATAGATAGATTTATCCCTTCTCCTCACAAAGATGAACTACTAACACTTTCCTCTATTTTTGTTTCTGTTACTGAGTTAGAATTTTACACTGACGGATCTCTTAAAGACGTCAGTTTCCCTTCAATCAAAATGGGGATTGCTTGGTTACAATTCCACTAAAATTCGCCTATGGCTTCCTTTAGTATCGCTTTGGCCTCTAGCTTTCTGTTATCGTCAATACCTGAATTTGCAGCCCTTTTTACAGCACTCCTGACTGCCCCTCAAAATTGCAAAGTCAGAGTCTATACTGACTCAGCTGTTATCATATCACAGTTCAACAAATTTAGTTTTCTCAAGAAACAGTCTTCTACCTTCAGACCTTTTTTGAAAATTAACAATTTTGTGCATTGGTCTTGTCTTTTCAAAGTGATCTCTATGCACAACCTTGACATCCATTTAATAAAAGTCAAAGCACATTCAAATAATCTTTTGAATAACAAGGTAAATGCTATGGTAAAAGACAGTGATATACATTTATGATGTCTCAGAGATTTGTTGTCCCAGTTATATATCCCAGCTATATGTTTCAATCTGTCTTACACTATGTCCCAAAGGTCCTATCTGTCCCATCTATATCCCATCAGCGTCTCATCAGTATCCTATCAATGTCTTATAACAACACTGGTAAAAGACGCTTTCACTCTTTCCGTCTTGCACCTTAATACGATGGTTGCTTCACAAAGCTTCTTTAATTATAACAACTAGCCTATTCTTCTCCCGGTTAGATAATTTGTAAAGGACATCTTCCGACACAAGCATCTTTAGCAAATTTTATTCTTGCATGTAGTCAACAAATATCACCCTTTCTTTAAAATCAATTGGTTCGTTACCTCTTTCTATCTTAATAACAATGTCGCTATCAATCACACATCATATGTAGCCTCTAGTACAAGAATGAAAAAATTCTAACGGTTGCTAAAAATGCTTCCTACAGTTAAAATTCTGAAAATTAAACATCTGTCCTTTTTTCCGCCCTTAGCCCTGTGCCTCTGATATGAGGTTGTGAATGAAAACTTCTTTCATATATAGACATGTCCGATGGTCAACTATCAAATGAAATTGCTCATTCAACGAGTTAAAAACTACCTTAGAGCTATTACCAATGCATATTTGAACGATATTGATAATCTTAATTGGTGGAACCTCTCAACATCTTTTTCTTTGTGGTTCTCATTAAAGATATTGTTTCCACTACCCTCTTTGAATTTATTCACAACAACCTTTCACACATGCCTACAGCTTTAGCTAGGTGTTCATCCCTCATGCACTTCATTTATGAAGAATCACAACATTTTTGGATTAAAAGGTATACTCGTCAATCTACCACCGACAAAGCTGCCAACATTAACCTTCAAGATAAAAAGGACAATTTCATCTCTTCAGGTTTTGATCTTCCCTGTAATATTCTTACCAACAACAATAACATTGATCCAATAAACATCATGTTGTAACTAGGATCCTATTGAACGAATTTTTAGTGCAGTAGTGGCTAAGCCCTCTCCTGTTTTTTTGGTTAAATACTCGAAAGTGATAGTTTTAGCTTAGGTTAAAATGATCCAGAGAAGTACAAACTCAGTTTTCTATAGTCTAGTTTTGCTTTTCTGTACAAGATTTTCACTTTTTCTTTTTGATTTGTATTTTACTTTATATCATACTCTTATCATAATAAAGATTATGTGGAACTAACGCACTTTAAAAAAAAAAAAAAAAATATTTAATATAAATAATAATATAATAAACAATTATTAATTTATTTAATCAACTTTGTTATTTCTAATTTAACGATAATAAATTATTCAAGAATGATTAGTTGACCTGAATTTTTATCAGTTAGGTCAGGTCAGTTTGACCTGTTGACCTGACCTGACATCAACCTGAAATTCTATTGATCTGACCTGAATTTTCAGGTCAGTTCAGGTCAGGTAAATAGGTCAATCTGACCCGATTCAGAACTCTAGATAAATGTAATAATAAAGAAAATAAATATCATAACGATAATTACGATAGTAGTGAAATTAGTGAAAATGAAATCATAATTTTCTTAGTGATCATTAGTAGTATTAACTGATGTGATAAGTGAGCTGTAATAGAATTTGTCAATGCAAATGATCATTGATCTTCCTGCAATTGACATTCCTACTGATTTCATTTAATTTATTATGCTCTTAATCTATTACTAACATCTTGACTTACTACATTACTTTTTTCTTTCAAGATGAATATATTGATATAAAAGAAGACTCTGAAACTACTTCGCATACCCAGTAAAACTTATTTGTTAATAAAGTATTTCATATTGAACTTAATAATAATTTTATAAACCTGGTATTATGTAATTGCTCTACTCATTAATAATTATGTAAGTGAAAATACATCAAAAAATTTCTAATTAGATAACTTGTAATCACCAACACTTATATTTTCATATTTGGCTAAATATGAGAAACTCATAGTAGTATATTACATCACAACAAAATAGATATATATATATTGTACCTTAGACTTAAAACTTTCTCAAACTTTCACCTGCTACGTGTTGGTCATTTCTTTTCTCTTGACAAGTTTTCACTGTTTTCACCTGCTGTAATATCTACTTTAGAAATTCCTTTTTTTGTTCAAATTGGTAAGGGCTATCTTTTATGTACATTTTATAAAGTAAAAGAATTATAATATTCATATATATTAAATTTTGTAGATAAAGCAATTCTTTTTATTTTGAAAATAAACTAACCTTATGGTTATATGATAGCTTTCTTGAAAAATTAAAGCCGTTAATTATGGAAAACGAAGTTGCTGAACTTTCATCAATTTGGCAAAAAAGATTTTTGATGACACTGAAGGAAATAAATAATGATGATATGAAAGATGAACAAGCGCAATATATTGCAGACCTTTTAAGTAATCAGGTATCTTTTCTTAGTATATTAAGTACAACAAAGGGGGTGTCATTCCTCTAGTATGCAAGAGCTTGGAGATATTATTTTACCTAAAACTGTGTATAAGATGTTGTTTCTCGTACTATTGCATAAATCCAGGGAGATGTCGTCCTTTGTTTCTTGCCAACAGTTCTATAGGGGTGTTGTTCTTCTTTGGACTCCTAGGGGGTGTCGTTCTTAATGCAACAAAATTACTAATAGACCTTTTTTTTATTAAGAAATTAATCGCAATCAATGTAAGGTTTTGGAAAAAGCTAAAAATGGAAAAGAATCGCAAGCTTTCTGAAGCTAATTTCCATCATAAAAAGGTTTGTACTTTAAATTATACAAATTGAATCAGGTTATATTTATTAATAACTTTTTTATAGTCTATATTCATATGCAACTCACAGATCGAAGCGTTAGGTATGTTGGAATTAGCACAGACATTGCAGACTATTCACGAGCTTGACTAATATTTTAATACAAATAGTAAGAATACTACGATATGTTAGCTAAGCTATATATCCTGGCATGGTTTATATAAACTAATGGCTAATTAGATTATCACTCCCTTCTAGATGAATATTCTTGAAATTGTCAACCCCACTAAATGTTCTGAGTAAGATAATATAAACATTATAAATTCTTCATGATATGATTCAATCATTGTAATATACTAGCAATAATTTAATGATATTTGTATTGCAGGAATCTACAAAATCTGATAAAGGAACCATTGGTACGAAAAATTTTATATAAGGTTTTATTATTAATCTTTATTTAACTAATAAAAAATAATTTCTTTGGCTGAATTATCTAGCTAAATTGTTGGCACAAATATTACAAAATAAATCTGAAAAAGCTGGTAGTTTGGCACAAGATAAAGACCAAAGATTATCGTTAAAGAAATGTCAGTCAGAAATTGATTCTACGCAAGATGAAGACCAAAGACTATCGTTAAAGAAATGTCAGTCAAAAATTAATTCTACGCAAGATGAAGATCAAAAATTATCGTTAAAGAAACACCAATTAGAAATCGAAGAGCCAGAATTACCTAAATCAAAAAAATTTGAAGCTGTAACTGATTTTACGCAAGATGAAGATCAAGGGATATTGGAAGAACTAACTGATTTTGCGCAAGATGAAGATCGAAGATTGTCATTAAGGGAACGCCGGTTATCAATTGAAGAACGCAAAGTAAAACTTGAGCGTGAAAGAATAGAACTAATGAAATTAAAAAAGAGCTTAATATAGACTAGTCATTAGAAATATAAATTAGTTATTAAATCGGTAGCAGAGATTTTATGATTCTTAAAGTAGTTTGCGAACCATCTTTGCTCTAACAATGTAAATAAAAGAAAGCTTGCATAGTATTGCACATTTCAGGTGATTGTTCACATGATCTAACTTTAAAATTTACATTTGTCCGGGGATTCTTTTAGGTGTCGGAACTTGATTTTTCGGTGAATATTAAAAAATCAGGCACTATATTTTGTTTACAATTAACAAGGGACATCATTAAACATGATGTTGAGCCAAGTTTGCCTGATGTCATGTGGTAAATATGAAGACTCAATTATTGTGCATAAAAAATTTTATTGATACACGCAAAAAATAAATACAGTATAATGGTTCAGAATGCAAGCCCGTTTTATGCAGACTATAATGCACAATTATTTTTTCGAATGATCTCCCTCTATCCTAGTCCTCTTCTCTTCTGGCTCATCATTCACGCATGCCCTATTCTTTAACAACCCAATGATTATGCCAAGAACCTTCCTTACATACTTTCGTATTCTTCTTCGATACTAAAGGCGCAGTATATGTTGTGCTGAACGTCATTGATAATTAGCCGGTAGATCCTAATTGGGCGTAATCTTGTAACACATTATTGATCACTGAAAAGTATTTAAAATCATTACACCAACATCGCATGAGTCCCGACTCTCTCATCTTTTCTTTCTCCAAAAAAAAATAAAATTAAAAAATATGATAAATGATAATTCTGATTATGAATTTATATTCACAGCAGCAGATGCTAGAAGACAACAAAGACGAACAGGTGCAAGAAGTTATTCATCATTATCATGGTCACAAATATTTAATCCATCATCATATTATAATAGAAATGATATAAATTCTAATGGAAGAAGAAGTGGATTTAATAATATTGACTTGACAAATACAAATAATACCCCCTCGAGTCCTTTTATGGATAATAATCATCAATCGATTGAACAAACATCTCCTACTGTTCAACCACCAAGTTATGAAGAAGCTATTCAACGATCATTAAATCCTTCTACTGTTAACATCGCACCTTTGGCTCGATCTACTATCAATTACCAACCGTTAAATCGAGTTGTGATCTCGGATGATGAATCACAACCTTTACTCTCTAATTCTGAACATGACATTCGTGAAGAACCTAATCATGTAGATGTGATTGCTAGCACATCTCATGATCATGATAACCATAATAATAAATTAATGGACGTAATTTCTGAAGAAGAAATACAAAATTATAATAATTCGATTTTAGGGGGACCTTCTTCCTCTTCCTCTTCTTTAGGTGTACCTTTAGCTAATTTATCCTCATCAAATGAAAGATCAATTCCACAAGTGTTTGGAGTTTATGGTGAGAATGATGGAATTCCTCCCCCACCAGAATATACTTTATCTGATGCAACTTATGAAAGGAATATTAACGGGATTACAAGTCATGATCCTAAATTAAATAGCGAACCCGAGTCTTTATTAAGATTTTTTATGGGGCATAATGATAAACCTGAAATGGCTATCAAAATTCACGGTAATTTTAAACAATTTTCAACATGGGATTATCATTATAATCATTATTTTTTTTTTTAACAAATACAACTTGATCCTTTAGGGTATCATATGGAAACTCAAGACGATAGTTACACGAGTAGGGATTCTGATGGTAACACGACAGTTCATTATCAAACAAGAACTGTTGAAGTGACGGATTTTAATTTTACTTTTGATTTAACTGAACATATTTCAATTAATGGCATAATTCATACCATACCAAATAAAAATAATAAACGAAAAGACGTTATGGAACTATTAAATGAATATGTTAAACATGGTAATCGGTTAAAAAATATTGAAATGAAAAAGGTATGTAAACTTTTGAAGGTCGAATGGTTTCTATTTATAATGTTAAGCCAGATTTGAACAAATTTTCCTTTAAAAAAAAAAATTATCACAGGTTGTAATTTGGGATTATGAATCATTAACAAAAGCGATATCAACAGTCATAAGACAGCAAGGTTATCGCAACGATTTACGCATAACGTTTCCGTTACGTAATCATATTATACGCGTAGAATCTGACCATAAATTTGCTAGGTTTACTAGAAATATTTGGACAAAAATTTTATGTTTTATAACGTGTTTATGGATAATTTTTTATCCTATACTTTGGTTATATAGAAATAGTTTTAAAAATCAAATTAGAAGTAATTTTTTTATGCATGTTAGCGAAAGAGATTGGTTTGATAGAAATGTAGATTCTATTGTCGCTAATGTTAGATGGTTATAACTTAAAACGAAAAGTGATCGATTACTCATAGATTATTTACAATAAACATTAAAATATTTAATTTTTTTATTTTATCTCAAATAAATAACCAATTAATTAACACGCTATCTCTTGTCATTTCTTTCTTCTTTCATCTCTTCTACAATTTGGTTAACATCATATACTAAGAAAGGAAGAAAATAATGATCGATTATTTTTTTTTTAAAACAATAAAATAAATAAAAAGATAAGTATAAATAGTTGTAATTAAATAATTAACTTGTTTTATTGGTTTCGGCCGCTCTTTTTAATACTTCCATTGCTTGTTCATTCTTTTTACGTGTTTCAGGAGATTTAACTTGTTTTTGAAGATCAGGTGATAATTTCTATAATATTCATTTAAAAACAAATCATCTTGATAAACTCTTGAATAGGAAAATCAATGGGTAAAACCTCTCACTTATTACCTTATACAATTCATCTGGATTCGGTGCAGTGGTTTTCATTAACCAATATCCTAATCCGAAAATCAATCCTCCACCTATTAAACCCTTTACATATGCTGACATTTTTTGATTATGTTTTTAAACGTAAAAAAAAACGATGAGATTTATTAATTTTTTTATTTTGTGAAACGATTAATTACCTAAACGTCATTGGTCGATTTGAATACTGGAATTCTTTTATGGTCTATAACCAATCATTATTTCTCGTGTAATTTTTTGGTGAATTTCAAGAAATTACTCTCGTAAATAAAAGAAATAATGATTTTCAGGGGATAATTTCGACCTTGGAAATTCGGCCGTTTGTCACCATATAAAAGTCGAATACCGTTTCTATCGTGTTTTACTTTTTTTTCCTTTTTTTTTTTTTTTTTTTTTTTTTCCGGTATTTACTTTATTCTAAGATGAAAAAAAAAAATTACAAATAAATAATTAAACAAAAAAAAATAAATTCTACCAAAACGTAAAAAAAAAAAAGAAGCTATCTACAAGTTATATACTAAGAAAAAAATACGTGTTTAATAATTAAATGACCGTTTTTATATATGATTTGGTGACGTTTCTTGTTCTTGTGATTGTCGTTGACTTGAAAAGGATAACTCCTGAGGTTCAGTTATATCCGTATCGTCATTCTCTTTCACATTATTACCAATATGACTTGAGTCGTTATTGTAAAAGGTCGAATCAAATCCCATGTCAATACTTTCAATAATCTCAACATCATTTTTTTCGGTTTCAACTTTATCAACACCAATTCTGATATTAACTGCCTTTCCCTCCGTAAGATTTCCTTGGATTTCACGTCCTTCCTCAATAATACGATCAATCAACTTTTCATCTTTTTCAATTCTCTGATAGATATCCACATCACAGGGTAACACGACGCTCTTTATCACCTTCACCAAATAATTGGGGATTAAAGCTAAACTAACGGTTATCAAGATAGTTAACCAATAATCCCATCTGATTCCAATTTGTTGAAATACGCCTTTAACATCATAAGCATCCGCTTTTGATTCATTCGGATATAAATAGCTATAAATTGTTTGAAATAAAAACCATCCAAATAATGTTAAAATTGATGACAAATGCGTAATAAAAGTATAATTATGACATTCCATATATGCCACTTTAAATGTTACGATAAATACAACGCATGTATACGCGATCAACCCCAATTCATAAAGTTGCGGGGATCCCACCGCTCTTAATTCAAAATGAATAAAGGTTTCATGTAAAAAGAATGGCATCAAAACGATTACAAACGCATGATATAATCCTGCGCACATCCATGCGAAAAATAATTTTAAATTAAATGCCGTATTTAATGGTCCCATGGTACGATATAATTCTGGAATTCCGATTAATGTCTTTCTATTTAGGTCTTGTTCAAATATGCCAATGACCATTACCGGTAACGATGAGAATAATGTATTATATGCCGCAAGTGTCCAATGTTCATATAAACTTGTACCAGAAAATCCGTTGAAAAATTGAAATATACCTTGTGTGAGATAGAAGCACATGCATTTATAAAAGGTGCCTAGTACAAATTTTGAAACTCGGATGTAAGACCACCGTCCATGAACGAATAATAATGTCGTCAAGAAACGAAATTGTCCTATAGAATAATCACTTGATCTCGCAGCTTGTAAACCTTCTCGACCGGTTATTCCAATTCCAACGTGCGATTCTTGAATCATCGCGATGTCATTTGCCCCATCTCCTATTGCTAACGTGACGGCATCGGTTAATTTCTCCCTAATCTTACGAACCACGAGGGCTTTTTGACATGGACTTACGCGACAGCAAATAACCGCATCACATAAAACTCCTAATTTTAAGAATAAATCCATTAGTTCAGGATTTTGTTCGATGAGCATCAAAGCATTTCCGTCCACAATCGTCACCGAATGACTGAATTTGCTCTTGTGAATATCTTTTAGCGAATTTTGTAATGACTTTTTTAAATCGTCATTCGAATCCACAATGATCGTGGTTGAATATTCTTTAATCAACGAACATGAATATCCGATATTAATTGCTGTCTCGCGTTTGTCACCTGTCAACATCCAGATCTTAATTCCAGCTTTACGTAATTTATCAATCGTTTCAGGTACCCCATTTTGTAATTTATCCTCAATTGCCGTCGCCCCTGTAATTTCTAAATCCCGTTCAATCAGTTCAGCAACTTCCTCAAGTTTTTGTTGTCTATCAACTAATGAAACGGATGCCTCTTGATATAATTTACTCCACACGGCGTACTCATCTTGATTAATAAATCTATGCCCATAAAGTAATGTTCTAAGTCCTTCCGTTGAAAATTCTTGAATGTCACGAATGGTTTCGCTGTATAACCATTTATCATTTTTAATTGGAAACAAATCTATCACATGATCTTGACTCGGACTTCCAACAAATAACTTTTTAATCATCGGCCTGTTTCTAGGATGTCTCAATCGTTCAAGTATAACATTGTCAGCCCCTTTACAAAGCAAACATATTCTTCCATCGGGTAATTGATAAATGATGGACATTCTCTTTCGTTTGCTTGAAAATTCTATCACATTCAAAATATGATAATCTTCGTAAGAGAAACGATTCTCATCAGGAACTACTAGATCATCAGGTTCGGCATTATCGAGAATTCGGAGGGACACAACACCTAAAGAACGGTCTGAAACGATGTAGCCAAGTTCTTTTGCCGAAGTAACTATAGCAAATTCATCTGGCGAAGCGGATTGATAACGTATGTCCTGAGAGTCCAAATCTACTTCAGGAACGCATGTGTGACAAAGGGCCATAGCGAGCAAAAAGAATCTCGCCCTCTCTCCAAAAGGAGTATTAAATTGATGTCGAATTATGGTCAATAAATCAAGTGTGGATGGTATCGATTTATTTGACAATAGCTTTTGAGAATTCAATGAACTACATCTACTACGTGTTGAATCAGGTGAACGAGGGGCAATCATTGAGAAGGTACTAGCAGCCGAATTTTTCCGACACAATAATGTATCAATTTGAATGCCTTTCCCCTCATTGTTTTCACCCGAAACGCGACCCGATTGTTTATGACGGCTATTAACTTGAAACAACGATGCGACTGAAGATAATGTTACTTGTTTTCGAGGTTTTTGAAACTTTGATAATAAATCTTCTTCATGAATTCGACGAATATTCAAATCGTGCAAGAAAGATCTCCCACCAACACTTAACTTTCTAAATAACATGATATTATCCGTCAAAGTTCCAGTTTTATCCGAAAATAAATAATTGACTTGTCCCAATTCCTCATTAATGGTGCAAGTATGAGCTTCGGCAGGGGTATCAGTCTCTTCATGATACATATCTAAATCATTATTTATGAAATAAACCTGAGATAATTTGACAAATTCCATGGTAACGTATAAAGATATTGGGATCATGGTGTTAAAAAGAATAATAAACGCGAAAAATGTGGTAGCATAATTCTTGGAATATTTCCCCAAGTACGACGTGATATTTTTAGAATTATCCAACCAACTTTTGGCCAGGATCGTATTAATCGTTGCCAATAGCAATACGAAACTGAAGATTATGATAACAACACGATTTATCAATCGTTGTATGTTGGGAGCTTTTGTGCGAATATTTTTTGTCGCGTTCAATCGTAACTTTGTTTCTTCCCCTGTATAGGTAACTAATCCATAAATTTCGGGAGTGTTCCGCAGTATGGTACCCCTCAACAAAATTTGATTATTAGTTAATTGACATTTCTGTTCATCAAATTCAATCGATCCTTCAAAATTATATAAATCTTGATTAGGATTCTGAGTTTTGACATTGCCTATAAATTTTAACGATTCAAAATTAAAAAAGAATAAAAATAAAATAAAAAAAAGTAAAAAATATTTTTTTTTTTGTAAAAAAAAAAAAAAATTACCCGAAAAATTGGCAAGAGCCTCAGGTGAAGTTAATAAAGAATTTACTTCTTTCAATGCTTGCCTCTGTTTTAGATTAGTTTCTCCATCTAACGCAGCAGTCTCAATATAGCATATTCCTTCCTCACCTTCTGAATGAAGCAATAATAAATCTGCAGGAACCCATTCTTGAGCTTTGATTGAAACGATATCTCCAACCTGTAAATTCTTCCATTTCGTTTTCATCCATAAACTCATCCGTTGAGACACGGCATCATTTGAACGATATACATGTAACACTAAACATTCTTTATTATTCTCAACTTTGTCTTGTTTATGTCTTCGAATGTCATCAAAACCCTCACGAGCCATGGATATGGACATAAAGGTTGATAAGGGGATTAAAGTTGTAAATTGACCAGTAGGTGACCATCCGGGAATTGCTTGGATAGCCGCGACAAATAAGAAATAAATGTTGGCAACTTTTGAAAATTGAGCGTAAAGTTGCTTTGGAAGGAAATCATAAAACGTATAACGTGATGTTGTAATCGCATTCTTAATAAAAGGTTTATTTGTTCGCGGGTCTAAAAGAGGTTCCTTACGTTCAGGTATTATAGGGATTTCTCGAAATGAAGTTTCGGAACAATGTCCATACATTAACGTTCTTAATTGTCTTTTTAACACGTGAAATATCCATATTATAAAATTTTGAGAATTCTTCTCGCTCACTAAATCTGACGAATTCATACCAAATTTTGTAATATTTGAAGGTTTATTTGAACTTAAAGAACAATTTGGAATTTGATCAGATGTTTGTTTGCCAAGATATTCAAGGTATTTATCTTCGGCAATGTCTTGACGATCTAGGCATGATTCTCGCAGTGTCTCAATGACACTATTATCAAATTGCGAAGTAATTCTATCTAACGAGTTGGGAGCATTTGATGAACGTTCGATTTCTTCCAATGAAGAAGAACATGAATTTGTATTGGCATCTGTTAAAAAATCGGGATGATCTTGCTTAATGTCATTATTCGATGGCATTATTTTTTTAATTTTTTTTACTTTATATATACAGCTTATGTATATATATATATAATATAATGGGCAAAAAAAAAAAAAAAAATTTTTTTTATTTTTTAGGGAAATGGGTTATATATAGATTACGGAATAACTTCAAATTAAAAATAGATATCAAAAACAAAACATCATCAGTAGATTTTTAATTTTCCTGCTATGTAACATGTGGGTAAGTGATACCAATTACCAATTATGTAATATACTATGAAACGTAACTTCGATTCTGGAACAAAATAAATATTTTGACTAAACATAGTCTTTTTAGTGATAACAATGAAGCAAAAAAAAGGGGACCCTACGTCGATCGACATTTCCATTTCCACCAATTAATATAGTCTCATATTCTTGGCGTAATCTCACCCTAAAATTTTATCTGAATGGAAATCGATTTTTTTTTGCAATGAGATAACCTTATAAATATTAGAAGTGTTAAAAATAAAAATGTTAATGATAATGTTTGTGATGTGAAAAAAAAATTACTTATAAATAATTATCAATGATATCAAATGTTTCATTTTTCATTGTAAATCAATTCGCTGTAATTCGATGAGTTTGTTTTTTATCTGGAGATAATCAGTTACAATGCCTTCTCTTAAAAAATTCATACAACAAGGAGATTTATCTTCCCTTCGCAACTATTTAAATGCTCTTCCGCTTGAAAAGGCACGTCGAATAATAAATACTCCGGATAATCATGGAGACACCCTCGTGCATTTTGCTGCTCGATATCACAAGAAAGATATTTTATCTTTTTTGATTGAAGATATGGGAGGTTACGCCATGGCGGTCAATAAACATGGTACTTTAACTTTCACGAATTAACTTAAAAATATTTAATCAAGAAAGTTTTAAAACCTTTCCGTACATGAAAGAATACAAATAGGCCGTCAACCACTTTATGAAGCTATTGATAATTTTGAGTGTGTAAAGTATTTATGTGAACAAAATGTTGACATCGATTGTATGAAACGTGGCGATTGGACTCCGTTGATGACCGCGTGTAAGTTTTCCAATTTTTTTTTTTTTTAAATTTTAAAAAAAAAAAAAAAAAAAACGATATTTCACTTATATACAAAATAAACATATTTTTTTATATTTTTAGCAATGAAAGGTAACCTCAATATTGTGAAAGAATTAGTTAAACATGGAGTTAATGTAGATTTCCTAAATAAAGATGGTTGGAATAGTCTTCATCTTGCTGCAAAAGAAGGCATGTCAAATAGAATAAATAAAATAAGCTCTTTATAATTCAATTACATATTCTAACAAATTTTTGATGAATTTTTTTTTAGGTCATTTAGATATTGTAATGTATTTACATAATATATCACCTACTTTGTCAACAACATCAAGTAATTCGGGAAAACTACCAATTCATACAGCAGCACAATGTAATCATTCTGAAATAGTTTTCCAACTACTTTCATCAACACATAATGAAGAAACCAAACGATATTTATTAGTGTCGACCGATAATGGAGGAACAAATCTTTTGCAAAATTCTGTAACTTGTGGAAATCTACAAATGGTAAAGAGGTTAGTTGATGAATATGATGTTAAAATCGATCATAAAGATAAGCTTGGCAGGGAAGCTATTCATCTTGCAGCAATGATTGGAAATGAGGAAATGATAAGATTCTTATTAGAAAAAGGTGCTAACCTTAATGTACAAGATTATTCGGATAAATTTACTCCATTACATCATGCAGCTAAAGAAGGATATATAAATGTAGTCAAGTACTTGGTTAATACGTGTCATGCCAATACTGATATTAAAGATCATCATGAAAGAACTGTAAAAGATGTTGGTAAGTATTTTCTTCCGTCAATAAAAAAATGTTTCCTAAATATACTTAATAGATTAATTGTTAGTTACATGATCATTTGACGATTTATAATTAGCTATTTTATGGAATAGACAAGATATAGCAGACATTTTGAAATAAATGATTAAGTTTTATATAAGGATAGGTTCATTGAATAAAAATTTATTTGTCCTGGTTGATGATATTATACTTTTAATTCATCTTTTTGGTCTTCTTGTATATTTTCTTTATCATCAATTTTCGGCCACCATTGAGGTCTAAAAGGTTTTATCCTCAAGTTTTCACCTTGACCATTATTAACTGTTAACTCGTTACCTTGGATTATATCTAATTTTAATAATGCTAAAGCTACATTATGATATGAAGTACCAATAGAACCTACTGGTCGTCCCTTTCTATTCAATATATTGATATCACTAGAAGGTGGTGGAAGAACTAGACTGGAATTACGATCAACTTCCAATGTGGTTGGTACGCTATTACCGTTATCGGCAAAATTTTAATTATGTTACATTTACACACATATATTTTTTTAAAATTATGAATTCTACGAATTCTCACCTTTCACCTTCGCGATATAATTGAACGGGCAAAATACGTTTTCTTGTAACTCCAGTATGATATGTTCTAAAAGTAAGTTCTTGACCAATGTAACAACCTTTATGAAAATCAACTAAAAGACAAACGTTCCCTTAATATTCCTGTAGTGATGATGATGATAATAGTTAATCATGATATTCAACGTACTTCCTCCCATATAGTCAAAGTTTGATTGTAATGGTAATGTTTCTCCTGGAGGAAAATCATGAATTCCTTCAGGAACACCATGTAAAATTCTTCTTATAGTATACTCGTTTGATGGTAATGCTGTAATACATCCTGGTATTGCCGCTATAAATAAATAAAATAAATCTTTAGAACACATCAAATGTTATCTGAACATAAAGGGGAAAAAAAACATTTACGTTTAGTATCGGGAGGTAACACTAGTCTCACACCCATGTTATGATACCTTAAATCCCTACACCCAATTTCTACAATTTTTGGATTTCTCCGCCATAGATTATCTATTAAATCACCCCAAACATTCCAAACCTGATAAAATGATGAAACATCATTGATTTTAACTCTTGATCTTAGTATATACTTTTTCATATGTTTTATTATTTCTGGTAAAATACGTGAATCACATTCAACTAAAAAGGTTGGATGTGGAAATGATGTTCCCGAATTTTTTGGATGAATAAATGCATCAAACATAACGCGACCCTAAATGCATATTAAAAATTTTCTAGATTAAAGAAACGATAAAATGGATTTTTCTTTTTTTTTTTTTTTTCCAGATACGTACGATTGGGTTCAAAAATGCTGTGTAAAATCCACCTCCACCAGAACTTATCAATGACATATCATTTGTAATTAATCCTTGTAGATACTTTACAGTGTCTTCACCATGTATTTCTAAAAGACCTCTGTCTGGAACTTTTACATAATGACCAGCTGTGTGAACTTTATCCTCCTTTTCACTAATACGAAGTGAAGGTTCTGAAGCAGTAACTGTGCTAAATGAACGCATTGCTCTTTGATAAACGGTGTTACATATCAATGGTGTTTGACCTAAGGTTATTATTCTTGTGCCAAATTCTTTTAAAACATAGATATATCAGCAGATATATCGATGTTATGTCTTTATTAAAGTAACGTGTTGATCCCTTACTATTATTATACTTACTTGAATTCTTCGTATTATCTGCTACAAAACGAGTGTTTCGAACAAAGGAATAAAAAGAACACCATTTTAACATGGTCATGTTTAACAACTCTGGTAAAAATGTCACGTAATTATATTAAAATGTGTTATAATAATGTTCGGGTGATACCAAAATCTCGAAAATCATGTTAATAAAATTATTTCTTTTTTTTAATTGATGGTTTTATCAATTCAATAGGCTATCAACAATAATACCAATTTCTAATAATTTTACTATTATTCTAACTATAACTTTTAATTGAGCTATATCTTTAAAATTAAGTATATAGTAACAGAGAAATAAATAAAATAAGTTAAATAAAATAAAATAATTTAAGTTTATGCACATTTTTTCATATGAATTTTCTCAAATTTTATTAATCAATTAAGTAATTTGGGGCATACTGCAACAAAACCAGACAAAGTGAACATTGGTATTACCAAGAATTTCAGGGATCAAAATTTAGTCATCACAAATGTAATGTGGTTAACAATTTTATAATATCCCATTGTTATCTTAAATGATATACAGAACTATCCCTATACAAAAATAATAATATGAAACTCATTTACATCAGATCTACTATGGAATCCAAGAATTATAGTATCATCAGAAGTATTTTGAAGAAAGAACAAGGTGAAAAAATTGCTCCTTACATTTTTAAATTAGCAGATACCAAATCTTTGCAAATATATTTAAACAAAGAAAGGATTACCTATGAAATTTATCAAGAGGAAAGAGTTTTCAAAAGAGTATTAGAGAGTTCTAGTAAAGAATCAAGAAAAAAAAGAAAACTAGCAGAATAACTAAAATAAATAATTACTTTTTTTTCAACTTTGTTAATTTTTAATTATCTTTTATTTTCAATTAAGGTCATTTTTTAGTTTTTTTAACTTCAATTTATGCAGTTAGTTGAGTCTGCTATCTCTTTAACTATTCAACTTCATTTTCAAGTCTTTGAATTTTATCTAATAATTCTTGCTTTTGCTTATTATGCTAATCCTTTGAAACTTCTAAAGCTTTCAAATGAGAACTGATTTCTTCCTTAGTACTGGATAGTTGCTGTTTTAAGTTTTTATTCTGCTGTTCCAATCTGCCAACATAACTCTGTGCCATTATTTCTGTTATGGTTGGGGTTTTGACTGGTTCATTTTTCCTTAAATCACAAAAACAATCTATCCTGTTTCTCATAATTCTACCATAATCATTACAATGTGGTAAAGTATTATCATCAAGAGCTTTTTTACACTCAACACAAATATAAGCAATGTTATTGTAATCATTATTACTTGTATTGTAAGATACTATTTTGTAAGTAGCAGTTAAACTCCTTTCTCTTTCGAAAGGACAGAAATTACAATACTATTTATCTCATCTCCTCAGCTTGTTAACTTGGTATTCTAATTTCATACTATTTATTCTTTTGTAAAATATAGGCATTAAATTTTTCTTTGGTTATTTCTTTTATTTGGCTAACTTTGTTTTTTACTTTGTTAGTTAGGAGTTTAAATTTGTTTTCTTTTCTTGGTAAAACTGATAATTCTTGAAGTTGCTTGTCTGCTAAATAATTCTGCCATGTCACAGTGTTTTTTAGCAGTTCTATTTTTCTCAAAGCTTTTTCTAAGTTGTCATTTTTTTTTCTTGCTTTGCTTTACTCTCCATTGTCTAGCTACTTCAAGAGTCTCTAAATAACATTTAGATGTTTCCACTTCTAGTTCTAATACTTCTTCCAACTCTTAATTAATTTGCTATAACTCAACAACTTTTTTTTCTAGAAGAGCATCCTTTTCTTTTAATTCTTCTTTTTCTTGATAAGTAAAACCAAAAGCTTTTTCATAATTTAATGCTTCATGATCAAAACTTTTAACAATGTTTTTAGGAGTGAATTTGTTGCTAAAAACAACTCTTTTAATTTCAATTCCATTCTTTTCTGGATAACTTACTCAACCATTGTTAACTCAAGTAAATCTTTCTAAGATTCTTAAACTTGTTCCAGTATATTCTGAACTTTCGGTAAGACTGTGAACTGCATTTCAGATTTTTAGCTTAAAATTTTCTTCTTTTTCAGCTAATTGCTTTTTCAATAATTCTATTTCATTTATTAGTGCTTTATTTGTTTGTTGTTCATTTATAATGTTTACCATGATTTTTTGTTAATTATATTTTCAATTTTTAATAAATACTTAAATATCTTTCTTTTTATAAAAGCAATTATTAAGTATATAATTATTTTATTAATATAATAATGAAGCAATAAAGTTTATTTTTAAATTTTCTATTCATTGACAGCATAAATTGGTTTTGAATAAGTAATATCTTTGAATTTATTTCTAACAAATGGACGAATATTATGATAAAGATATTCTTGTCTTTTGTAATCCAAAAAAGGTGGTATTAACATTAAAATAGATAGGGCCTTAATCTCTTCAAAAATATCTGCATTCTTAGTTTTCAATAAATTGAATTCAATAAAAGGACCATTAGCAACTTCTTGAACTTTCACTGTATTAAGATTAGATGCTTCAAAAGAAAATGTTGATATTTCTATATACTTGGTAATTTCTTAAAATAAATTCCCAAAATAGCTTTGATATCTAAATATTGAAAACCTTTTTCTGCCTTATAACATTGAGCTTTATTTAATCCTGCAGGACTAGACTTTTTTATTATCTTAACCACATGATCCAGACAATCTACTCTTGTTTTTCTATAGAGTTTTTTAATCAATCCAAAACTATCATCACATTTGAATTTGGTATGTCCTGGAATTATGAAATTTAATTCAATGCTTTTGTAATAACCACAAATTACCAAATATAAATAAAATTAAATTGTTACATTATTTTTATTTTATTTTCCAGCATTATCACAAGTAATCTTCAAATGCTTTTCACCTTATTCAATTTCTTAATTCCATCAAAAATCATACTAAGAGTTCTATTGGA